AACAGACATTCATTTGGGTTTTCACTGAAATAGTCACACGGAACTGGCCATGATTCTTAGAAATCTTTCTTTCCAGACACAGCCTAAATTCCCAGCCTCTCCCTACACTAAGGTGCCACTTCAGAAGTTAGGAGAAGGACAGTCTCTCCTCAATTTTCTCTCCATTTCAAATGCAGCTCATGGTCCTAGGAAAGTGCATGAACTAGCTCTTGCTAGTTAATGACGGGTCTGACCACCCATCCAGAGTCAGCTCTGTGGAAATGCAGCTTTCTTTGGTGCAGGCAGAAGACAGAGCTTTGGACTTGGAATCAGGAAAGCTGCAATCTGCCATTTAATCAAATGTGACTCTGGACCAGTTATTTCCTATCTCTGAATTTTAAGTTCCTATTTATAAAACAAGAATGTTTATTTGGATGATCTTTAAGACCCCTTCAAGCATTAATAACTCTGTGATCCTTTTTCCCCTTCTACCATTTTAGTTGATCACAAAACAACCCTGGGAGATCAGGATGATCATTCCAGTGTTGTTTTAGTTAACATCTTAAGCTTACTCTGCACTACGTACTGCTCTGAGCACTTTACACCTATTAGCTCACTTACTTTACCAGTATCTTTTGAAGGAGGCACTATAATCAACCTATTCAAAGATGAAGAAACAAAGGTACAAAGACGCTCGAATGTTCGAGGCCTAATGTCACATCACGAGTATATTACATAGCCGGGTCAGTCCAGGCAGTAGGCTCTAAGGTCTGTGCTCTGAACGACTATACTATGTCTCTTCCAAACTATAATCAGAGAGGTTAAGAAATTTAGCCAAGATCATACAGCTAGCAAGTGTTAGAACCATGGTAGGATTCAATCCTTGTGTCCTCAGATTCCAAGTCCCCTGGAGAGAATTATGTCTCTAACCTGTTAACAAATTGCTCAACTATTCAGGCTAATCTGAGGTGATGAATGTCTAATTCTCAGGACAAGAGAGTCAGTCTCCAAGGCAACCAGGTCCCATGTGCCTGAGCAAAAAGTGCCCAGTGCTTCTCAGGCCCAAGTGCAGGCTTTCTCTGTCAGACAATTCTTATCTGGCTCCCAAGCAGTGCTCTGAGCAGCCTATATGTTCCATCAATGGAACATTTGAGGGAGTGACTCAGTTAACTTCTCTGACCTTGGGAGAATACAGTCCTTTCACAGGACAATGAGCCTGGACATTTTTTATATTGTAAATTCACATACAGTGTCATGGTTAATTACTTTTTTTTTATTTTCCCTGAGCAGTAATACCCAGTACCTCAGTAGTAGGGTTTCAGACCAAGGTCCTCCTACTCCTAAATATATTAGTAGTTATATCCAATAATCCATTCTCTACTACTGAATATCCAGGAAAAGATGGAATCTTTTGCTTAAAAGCTGTCAAAGTCTTTCAAAGTCAGGAGCCAGTTCAAAGGAGTAAGCATCTTTACAACAGATGGAATGAATGTTAAATGTTACGGTGGCAGATTCTTATACTGGGTAACAGATAAGCAGACCTGCTTGCTAGATGGCAATTCCTCAGCTCTGCTCTGTGATCTCATTTCTGTTGAGTGGAAGGCAGCAGTTTCCAGCTGATTGCAGGACAATGTTCATCAATCATGGTAATAGTGCAATTACCCGCCAGGTTCAAGCTGCATAATGTGTTAGTGGCAACTTGTGCTGGATTTCATCTTCTTAAACAATCCAGATAAAAGAAGACCAGAAAAAAACATGGACCTTTCAAGAGGTAAAAGTAGGTCAAAAGTGCAATACAGTATTATAGCTCTTTACAGGATCTGTTTTAAATGCATGTGTATCTGTAAATACAAAGTGATTTGTGACTTCCCATTGTTTCCTCAGTCTGTAGAATTATTGACTTCCAAAAACAGCACTGGGTAGAGTATATTAAATGGTCAGATTCATTAAATATTAGGTCTGGAGCTCAGAGGAGGTCTCGTCCAGACTCCTGCTGGGTCATCAGAAAAGTCATGACAAATTTTTTCTGTTTTTCTATGCAAAAATGCATCATGAACTTTCTGACAACCCAATATTTTACAGTAGGGAAGTTTGAGGTCCAGGGATGGGAAGAAATCTCCTAATCATTCAGAGAGTACAATAAGAATGGAGTCATAGGTATGTCTAGATCACTTCTAAGAAGAAACTCACCTATTCTGAGTATCTACTATTTTGCCTCCACTATTAAACACTGGATAAGTATAGACCAAGCAAATGATCCCTGCCTGTTACCTATATATAGTTTAATAGAGGTGCTGTTTCTAAATTATCATCCCAATTTGGCAGCCGTGGAAAAGTTAACATGTTATATCACCTACTAGTATCATTTGAACTCACCTCCATCTGATTCATAGTCATCTTCTTATTCTTTTTTAATTTGCCAGAGGGCACCTGTGCCTGTAGGAGAGATGAAGATAGAGAGTGGGAAAGTGAAAAAACAACCCCTATGTGGTATGGTCATGCTGCAATCTTTTCCTCCTTTTGAGATTTGGGTGTACAACACACACACACACACACATCATGTTTCTCAAGCCACCAGGTCCAAGACTTGAACTGCAAGGTTGGCTGTGTGGGAATCCAGCTGCCTAACCACATGATGGGCTGGTCCCTCACATTCTTTCAATTTGCAGATTGTCACAGATAAAGGGTAGATGGGGGTGGTGGTAGTAACCAACTTGCAAGGAGTCTCAGAGTTAATTAAACAACCTCAATTAGTTATTGGTTTCTAGCTGCTTTGTGACCGCAACCTTGTAACAGAATGATAACTGCATCCTTCACACCAAATTCTCCCACTCACTTCACCTGTTCCTGCTCCAAAGCTCCTTGATTGGATATCGAGTTTCTGGAGTGTCTTAAAGAATATTTATTTGACTTTCTTTGCTATCACTTTGGGAAAAGGGGAAGGAATTACAGCAACCACTGCCCTGGGATTTCATTGATTTCAAGCCTACACCTGATTATATGCCATAGCTGGTTAATCGAGTAACAGCCTGTGTTTGGAAATTCATGCCGGAGACTAGCCCATGAGATTAAAATTTGTTAAGTGATTCTTTTTTAAGATCTCGATCCCTTAAGTGAAGTAAACTGCAAAACTTGAATTTATTCATTTATTTATTCAATAAATGAATATATGCCAGGATACAACTGGTAGCAAATTAGACACAGTCCTGCTGTCATGAAGCACACAGCTTCACGGTTTGGTCTAGACATTGTCAATTCATCACCCAAATGTAATTACACAGTACTCTGAAGGAAAGGCGTGTGGTACTATGAGAATACGTAACTGGGGACCCTGATGCACATTTACAGAGATGCTTCCAGGGCCCTAGGGAGACTCTACTGCCCCCAAATACCATCATTACCCACTGGCTGTTGCTTTACATTCCTCAATTAAGCTTTCTTTCTTTCTTTTTTTGGAGAGGTTTTTGCTATAGGGTGCGTGCGCTCGCCAGACAGACAGAGACAGAGAGACAGAAAGCGAGAAATCACCCCCCCCGGGGGGGGGATGGCCACGCCGCAATCCCTGGCATGAGTTTTTTTTCCTCCTTTTGAGATTTGGGCGTACAACACACACACACACACACACATCATGTTTCTCAAGCCACCAGGTCCAAGACTTGAACTGCAAGGTTGGCTGTGTGGGAATCCAGCTGCCTAACCACATGATGGGCTGGTCCCTCACATTCTTTCAATTTGCAGATTGTCACAGATAAAGGGTAGATGGGGGTGGTGGTAGTAACCAACTTGCAAGGAGTCTCAGAGTTAATTAAACAACCTCAATTAGTTATTGGTTTCTAGCTGCTTTGTGACCGCAACCTTGTAACAGAATGATAACTGCATCCTTCACACCAAATTCTCCCACTCACTTCACCTGTTCCTGCTCCAAAGTTCCTTGATTGGATATCGAGTTTCTGGAGTGTCTTAAAGAATATTTATTTGACTTTCTTTGCTATCACTTTGGGAAAAGGGGAAGGAATTACAGCAACCACTGCCCTGGGATTTCATTGATTTCAAGCCTACACCTGATTATATGCCATAGCTGGTTAATCGAGTAACAGCCTGTGTTTGGAAATTCATGCCGGAGACTAGCCCATGAGATTAAAATTTGTTAAGTGATTCTTTTTTAAGATCTCGATCCCTTAAGTGAAGTAAACTGCAAAACTTGAATTTATTCATTTATTTATTCAATAAATGAATATATGCCAGGATACAACTGGTAGCAAATTAGACACAGTCCTGCTGTCATGAAGCACACAGCTTCACGGTTTGGTCTAGACATTGTCAATTCATCACCCAAATGTAATTACACAGTACTCTGAAGGAAAGGCGTGTGGTACTATGAGAATACGTAACTGGGGACCCTGATGCACATTTACAGAGATGCTTCCAGGGCCCTAGGGAGACTCTACTGCCCCCAAATACCATCATTACCCACTGGCTGTTGCTTTACATTCCTCAATTAAGCTTTCTTTCTTTCTTTTTTTGGAGAGGTTTTTGCTATAGGGTGCGTGCGCTCGCCAGACAGACAGAGACAGAGAGACAGAAAGCGAGAAATCACCCCCCCCGGGGGGGGGATGGCCACGCCGCAATCCCTGGCATGAGTTTTAAGCCACCGGGTTCAGGACTTGAACTGTGGTCGACTACATGGGAGTCCAGCGACATAGCCATTACGCCAACTGCTGGTCCCA